GTTTGTGGCCAAGGTGGTTTGGAGTGACTGCTCCTGAGGGCTGTGTAGCCAGGGTTAGGATCTGAAGTCAAGCCGCAGTTCAGGCGCCCTTCAGACAGCCATGTGTGCTGCACTCTTCTGATTTTGCTGAAAGCTCTCTGGAAAGGGAAATGTGGGGAGAACCAGCCCCTGAGGCAGACTGAGCCGCTTCCTCCAAGAGTGGGCACAGATGGCACAGAGCCCCCATCAGCTGGGAAGGGCGCTGTCACTTGCCACCTTCCGGCTGAAGTCGGCCAGTGCGGTGAGTGCTCCTCTTCCCTTGCGCTGCACAAACTGCTCTGGTCAGCTGGGGCTGGAGCTGCCCTTGTGGCTCCGATACCCTGCAAAAGCAGAGCTCACTCAGCTACCCAGCGAGCCAGCACCAGTTCCCAGATGAATCCTGGATCTTGTTCTGTCCTTTTCCTGTGGTCTGTCCTGGTCAAAATCAACCAGGCTAGCTGAAACGGAAGGTGGGCCTTCATCCGCAGTGTGGTTCGGTGTCAGTGCTGTGGAATGGCTTAGTGTGGATATCTCAGGGCAGTGGCTCTTTGGAATCTGCTTTGGGTATCTGTAAATGAGCAATAATAATTTGCTGTTGCTGGGTAAGTCATGCTTTCCCAAATCAGTATAACATATGATTGCTGGGGAGAGAAACATACACCTTAGTTATTTTAATATTGTTACAACCTAAGTAAGGTGAGGTACTTGTGTAGAGAGAGAGAGAATCAAACTCATCATCCTCCACACACAGATACAGGTGATACAGACAAATTGGGAGGAAGCACAAAGGTAGCTGTGTGCCACGGTGGTAATGCTAGTCACCAGCATCAGTCCTAGCTGTCACTGTGGAGTCTGACTCTGGGAGGGCTTTGAGAGAATGTTGCCCATGTTGGCAGGATTTTCCTCGTTCCTAAGACACAAGAAGGCAGCGGGCAGGCGGATGGGTTGGTAGTTGTCAGGTGTAACTGGCAGAGCAAGACTCAGCGTCTGCTGTGCTTCATTTCTTTTATATTTTGCTGTTCATTGTGAATGCTTGAGGTCAAACACAGTGACAAAGTGTTTCTGTTCAACTTCTGTACCAGTTCGCCCTCTCTGGATCTCAGAACAGTTGTAGTTTCTGAGTAAAGCATGGGAAGGCATCTGACTTTCCAGAGTGATGCACCTGTAATGTTAATTTTAATGTTCTGTCTTTCTTTCTCTTGTGATAATAGATTCAGTTGACTGAAAAAACTTCTGGTCAGTAGTAGCTCTAAAATTTCACTTTGGTCTCTATAATTTTTAACTTTTTTTCCTATTCTGGCTTGACTTCATTGCTTCTCAGTTGACTGAAAAAACTTCTGGTCAGTAGTAGCTCTAAAATTTCACTTTGGTCTCTATAATTTTTAATTTTTTTTTCCTATTCTGGCTTGACTTTATTGCTTCTTGTTGAAATTAGTTATGCGTGCCTGTTCAAAAGAGTTGGTATTTCACCATTTCAGTTCTTTCTTAGCTTTGCACAGAGACTGATTGTCTGTAAAATCAATAAATGGGTGAAATCTTCTGGAAACCACCTTTGTTCTGAATGCATATCAGATGGCTACTTGAACTTACCTGTATAAAATTAACAGTGATTTTTAGCCATTGTAACAGCATCATAGGATCAGGCCTTGCAGTATGGACCCCACGAGAATAACAACTCCAGTATCAGAGGAGTTAATTTTATTCATTGTTTGCAAGAAGCTTAAGCTAAAGTTGAAGATACAGGGTATTGTTCCATAGCCCTCATTCATTTTAAATCATAAATAAATACAGCAAAAAATATGTAAGGAATTGTTTCCAGGATGAAGTGTACAGAATTATTTTTCTAGCTGCTAGTACTGGATGCATACTTGTGCACTCATTCTGAGAGCATATTTAATCAAATTGTGAATATCAGCACAAACCCAACAGGCATATAAGTGTTATGTCGCTAAGATTGAATTTTACATAATCTATTTTTAGTTATCTAGTTATGCACATGCTGTAAATTGCACTCTGTATGAACTTCTGTTGGGAGTGATCACATATGGGACCACAAAATTAGTCAAGATGCTGTGCTGAATGAGAAATATTCCCTCTTGCTTTGTCTTTTGATTAAGGAGCAATTGAAGCATTGATAAAAATATAAAAAGAAAATAATATCACTGCCTGGGATAAAAGATTTGAATTTCCCTGCGAAATTAAACACAAATCATTCCAACTGAACAATAGCATCATTAAATATAGTTCTTTGTAATGCTTCCCAAGGATTAAGTGAACTGATGTTGCATTCCATTAGCTTCAGAGCAACTTTAATGATGCTTGTATGCTGTTTATGTGAAGCTGTTCTCTAGAAAACGTGTCTTTTCCAGTATTCATGTTTTACATAACTTTCCCTCATGGAAGTGAAAATTAAACTTAACACATTTTTTGCATCTGAGCTGTGATGAGGACTGTAAAGCATCTCTTAGTCAGAAAACAAAATTTGCATTTTGGGAATACTTTGATTGCACTTGGAGCAGAAGTTGATTGATTTTGAATATCACGGAGCAATAATGAAATAAAGACTCCAAATACCAAAACTAGTGATTTGCACTGTTCTATTGAGCTCAGCTCTTGCTTGCATAAATTCAGTTTTAATTAGAAAAGTATTTCTTCTAATTTCGTGAAAACTGTCAGAGGGCATAGATGACATGCTTGCTGGATGGGTATAATGTCTTCTTATTAAGAAGAGATCACAATTAGTATTTAGTTGAGTGATTTTCAGCACCAGTGGAAGAGACCCAGCTGAACCCATTATTGTTCAGATCTAACACAGGCATTTCATTTGGTACTTGAGAGGTGCCTAGGGAGCAAAAAAGCTACTTATGCCTGGATGAGGTGACTGTCTGGATCTGCATCAGGAGGACCATTTTCAGCGCTGATGACCTGGAGTATCATTTACTGCATTTGCACAGTATGTTGGCACAATGTCGCGGCATCCTTTAACCAAGGATCTCGAAGGAAAAAAGACAGAGATGTCACAGCAAAGTGTAAAACATTCCCTCCCTTCCACAGCTTCTGCCAGCTTAGGAAATGTAGTAAACAGATATTAGTCTATACAGTAGTAAATGTCAGTCAAGTAATGAATGTGACCTTGTAAAACTTTTGGAATAAAAAGGCCTCTATTGGATGAAACCAAAAGGGGCAAATCAAACAAGAAAAAAAAAATGTAGACAATTTTATTGTACCCAGAGCAGAGAAAGAGATGTTTCCTGTTTATCATATGGCAGAAAAACACTTGCACGTGATACTTTAACGTCTGTCTAAGAAAATAGGGAAGTTACCAAGGTTGCTGCCAGCCCCCAGATTCCAGCCACATTCCTACCGCAGTGCTGGGTGAGGGTCTTCGCTGTGCGCTGGGACAGACCTCTTCCCACCAGACTGCAGGGGTGGCTTTGAGGGCCCCAGATAACCCCAGCAGTGAGTAACAGGGGCTCCCCCAAGTCTCCCTGGGAGGAGAGCGATGGTTACCCTCCGTGGGAGAACAATGCTGAGGCTGCAGGCTGGCTGCAGGGGTGTGTGGCACGGAGCCGCAGGATCTAGGAGCTGCACCGCAGGCACAGCCGTTCACATGTGCTAGGAGAGAAAGGAAGGGGTTAATGCACCTCCCGCCTTTGTGTAATTACTTCCTCCTGAATATATAGTGAAGGATCTTATTTTAATAAGTGGAACAAAATTTCTACCTTCTCTATACTGAAAGCAGTTTGCGAGATTTTGGCACAGAATGTTATTTTGAGCATCAATAGTTCTGTTGGCTGATTGGTGCAGATTACTGGAGTGAAGGCACTTCGTCTTTTCTTGGAAAAAAGAGGTGCAGGGAGGCTGGCAGGGCAGGCAGGTAACCCATAGTATATGAAAACTGTAAGAAGTTAAGTTCTACAAAAGTGAAGTGGTAAAAGTAATGGTAAAAATAAGATTTTAGCGCAACAGCTGCTTTGCAGGAATAGATGAAAGTCTGCATGAGAACATGGATGTAGTAACCAGGTGAAGGGTTCTTTTTATTTGTGAGAAATGTATTTGCATCCAAAAGAAGTAGAGCTGTCTGGGTTGTTCGGAGACATAATGTTCCTGT